CTGGACTATTAGGAACTGGTCCACTGACCAAACTCAGAGTGAGCCAGAGCCCAGGAGGTGACAGATGTCTATATGGGTGTCAGATAGTTATAAATTACATGGATCAAAACCAACCCAGTGAATTCTCCACCCTCCCATATTTCTCATTTTCAAAGTAGACTTTTGACATCTCGTTTGATAGGTTTTATCTCTTTTCCAAGCCCTTAACTATATGTAATCACAACACTTTTCTTCTTGGTTCTCCCCTCCCTTTCTTCATTACTTTTTTGGTGACTCATCTAGCTCCACTATGGCTTCAAGTACCACTTTGCCAATGACTCTGAGGGCTCTATCTGTGCACTTGATCTCTCCAATATTTCCATGTTCAATCATCCTACCAACATGTCTTACCAGACCCCGTACTCTGCACATCTAACATAAGTAGAATTGCAAGCTTTTTTGAGGAGGAAAACCACATCTTTTTCATTTTTGTATCCTCCAGAGAGATTATTTTGGAGTATTTTTCATTGTTGACACCAGTGAATTTGTACTCAGTATTTCTTGAGTTGAGTCCAGGTTTATTGCACAAGTTCACCACATTTCATGGATTGAATTATGTCCCCCGAAAAATGTGTGTATTAATTTGGCTAGGCCATGATTCCAAGTATTGTGTGGTTTTCTTATATGTTGTAAATCCTGCCTCTATGATGTTAATGAGGGAGGATGGGCGGCAGTTGTGTTAGCGAGGGGGGACTCAATCTATAAGACTGGATTGTGTCCTGAGGCAATCTCTTGAGATATAAAACAGAGAAGTGAGCAGAGAAACAGGGGGACCTCATACCACCAAGAAAGCAGTGCCAGGAGCAGGACATGTCCTTTGGACCCAGGGTCCCTGGGGGGAGAAGCCCTTAGTCTGGGGGAAAGCTGATGAGAAGGCCGACAGAGAGAGAAAGACTTTCCCTGGAGCTGATGCCCTGAACTTGGACTTTTAGCCTACTTTACTGTGAAGAAATAAATTTCTCTTTGTTAAAGCCATCCACTCGTGGCATTTCTGTTGTAGCAGCACTAGATGACTAACACACCACATATGAGGTACTTATAGGCACATTCACTCACTTTCTCCTTCACCTCTACATCTGATCTTGTTGATTCTTCATTTAAAATAATTCTTACATTACTCCACTTTTCTATTATAGTCTCAGTGCCTTAGCTTAGACCATCATCATTTTCTACCTGAAATACTGTAATGCTCCCTGAACTGCTTGACTACAGGTTCCCTCCTCTTTGATCTATCTTGCATTCTGAGACCATAGGAATTGTGACAGAGACTACTAGCTCCTCACCCAAATCCATGTTATTCTCTTTTTCCTGGACACTCAGCTAGACTACATTTCCCAGCCTCCCTTGTAGTGAGATGTGGTCATGTGACTGAGTTCTAGCCAATCCATTGGTATGTTCTAGTTCTGGGCTTCTTCCACACTTTCTCCGCCCCCCCCCCGTACCAGTTGAATGCAAATGGGTAGAGGCTGAACAGGATGGTGGAGTCACTTGGTGGAATGAACTGTGTTTCTTCTCCACATCCAGGAGAGCCACCTACTACTAGAAACACTCACTGGAACTGTTATCTATTTGTTACTGTAGTCCACGCTATCCAAAGTAATTCACTAGTTTTTCTAAATAGACCTCTACTCAATAATTAATTCCGTCTATAATTAATTCAGTCACTAATTCTCATTGTCTGCTACAGTACATATGAATTATATTCTAGGCACAGGGGATGCAGGTCTAATTGTCTTTCTCAAAAATTTGATGTGCTTTCTCACCTCTTTTTCTAAAGGAGTTTGGTTTCTTCTCCTGAAATGCCTTTCTTCCATTAAACATGAAACAGAATTATAATGTCTCAAGGTTGGAAGGATTGAGTAAAGGTGGAAGGCTCAGAGACTATGGTTAACTCATTGGTATGGCAGTGTAAGATTTCAGAGGTGAAACTCTTGGAAACATGGCAGAGTAAGCTGATGTGGACAGGTCTCATTCTTATTAAAACACATAAAAATTCTAGATAAATTATAAAAACAAACAAATAAACAAAAACCTCTTGCTATTGAGTTGATTCCAACTCTTAGCAACCTTATAGGACAGAGTAGAACTGCCCCATAGGATTTCCAAGGAGCGGCTGGTGGATTGGAGCTGCCACCCTTTTGGTTAACAGCCGAACTCTTAACCACTACACCGCGAGGGCTCCAAATTATAAATGTAAAAAGAAAAAAACAACCACATAGCCAAATCTAAAAGAAAGAAACAGGAATACCTAGGTACGAGAAACAAAGAGAAAGCTCAAAGCAAGAGTTGTATGCCATAGCTGATGCTGCAGTGGCCTCTTAGGGTTATCAATCAGGAACTCGGCCCTGAGGGCTAGAGTCTGGCATGCTAATGCCCCTTTGGTACAGGAGATGTGGTCAGATCACAGACCAACATGAACTTGCTCCCTCTGTAGGCAACACTTGAAGTGCTGCCCTGCCTCTGAAAAGAGCACTAGAAAATATTTTGGCATGTAAGGATTAGAAGGGAAAGACCAAAGTGGATAGAAGTCACAGAAGATATGGTTGTCTGCAAAAAAAAAAAAAAAAAAAAAAAAAAAATCCAAAGGAATCTCTAGATAAACTAAAAGAGTTCAGGAAGTTTTTTGGTTGTAAATAAATGTTTCTTAAAAAATCTGTACTGTTCTATACTGTCTGATACTTAAGTACAATAATGTAGAAAATACAAGTTTTATAAAGACCCTCCACCAGTCACAATAAAACCAAAATGCCAAACCCATTGCCGTGGAGTCGATTCCAACTTACAGCCATTCCGTGTGTTACGGAGTAGAATTGTAACTTAGGTTCTTGGCTGCACACTTCACTGGAAGCAGATCCCCAGGCCTTTCCATCACGCTGCTGCTGGATGGGCTCAAACTGCCAACATTTAGATTCTTAGTTGAGTGCAAACCAGGAGCCTCCATTCACAATAGCTACAGCAATTTTAAGGACTCTAGACATAAGTCTAGGGGCCCTGGTGACGCAGCTGTTCAGCATTTGACTGCTAACCAAAAGTTTGAATCCACGAGCTGGTGCATGGAGCAGTTCTACTCTGTCCTACAGGATCGCTATGAGTCAGTATGGACCTGATGGCAATAGTTTAGACATAATTCTAAGGAGCCCTGGTGGCCGAAGTGATTAAGCATTTGGCTCCTAACTGAAAGGTCGCCTGTTCAAACCCTCTATCCACTCAGCAGGAAAAAGATGTGGCAGTCTGCTACCATAAAGATTACAGCCTTGGAAACCCTATGGGGGTAGTTCTACTCTGTCCTATAGGTTCCCTAAAAATTGGAATAGACTCGACGGCAATGGGTTTTGAGTAGACATAATTCTAACAAAAGAGGTCCATGACCAGTATGAACAAAACTACAAAACTTTACTGAAAGACAAAAATGAATACCTAAATAAATGGGAGATTTGCAACGTTAATGGATAGAAAGATTCAGCGTGGAAAAAATGTCAATTATCCTCCAATTAATCATTAATTTGATGCAATCCCAGTCAAAATACAACAGATTTTTTTAAACATGAAATTTAACAAACTGATCCTAAAATTCGTGTAGAAAAAATAGAGAGCCAAGAAAAGCTAAGTCAATTTGAGGAAAAGGAATAAGGAGAGAGGAATTGCCCTATCAGTTAACAAAATGATTTATTATGGCTTTAGCTGTGATGATTCAAACAGTGGAATAGTACTGGTGTAAACAAAAAAACCCCAAACCCGTTGCCGTCACGTTAATTCTGACTTATAGTGACCTATAAGACAGAGTCAGACTGCCCCATATGGTTTCCAAGGCTGTAAATCTTTAAGGAAGCCAATTGTCGCATCTTTCTCCAACAGTGTGTTCAAATCACCCACCTTTTGGTTAGCAGTCTAGCGCTTAATCACTTCACCACCAAGGCTCCTAGTGCTGGTGTAGGGACTGACAAATAGACCTTAATAATAGATTTGAGAGCCCAGAAACAGGCCAGACATATGTTGGAAATTCGAATATGACATGAGTTTGTTTAGAAATACATGAGGAAACGATGGACTGTTTAGTCAAGAGAGCTGGGGCGATTGGATATCCATATGTATAAAAAATAATACCAAACAATAATTCCTAAAGGATTAATTGTGAAAAGCAAAACTTCAAACATTTTAGAAGAAATTTTATAAAGGAAAACATGTTTATGGGATCAGGATAGGAATTGGTTTCTTAAACCAGATGCAAAGTGCACAAAACATAAGCAAAAATATTGTAAAATTTGTCAACATTAAAATGAAAAACATTTGTATGAAAAAGACATAATAGAAAAAAGGGAAAGAAAAGTCATGGACTGGAAAGATGTATCATGCATAATCAATAAAGGATTAGTATTCAGAATACATAAGGATCATATACACTAATAAAAAAAAGACCAAAAATCCCATAGGAAATAATGGGTAAAAAATATGAATAGGCAACTCAGAAAAGAGGATACTGGTATGGCCAATAAACAAATGAAAAGATGCTCAGCCTCATTAATAATCAGAGAAATGCACAATGACTCAAAATTCAATTTAATATTCTTCATCTTGGAATAAATGCAAAAACTGACAACTTCAAGTGTTAGGGAGCAAATGGAAAAATGGGAGCTCAGATGCTCCACTAATGG